AATTCTCTGCCAAATACGGTAAGCAGTTGCTAAATACAGTAAGCAATTGCCAAATACGGTAAGTATGAATTTGGTATCTAAAACACAAATATGGTATATGAGAAATCGATTCCACTCCATACACTACCGATTAAATATAACAACACATCCAAATGTACTTGTGCGTACCAATTGTACTATGATTTATTAACTATCTAGCAGATTTTAGTGTTTGAGCGCACATGCATGGAGTTAGTGGAGGAAGTAGAGAGAAAAAGTTACACACATAGTGCGTTTTGTATGGAGGGAGAGAGAGAGAGAGAGAGAGAGAGAGAGAGAGAGAGAGCAACCCCACAAAATATCTTGCAAATTGGGATAGGTACGGTGAGATGTAGTGAGTGGGAGAGAGAAAGAGAGAGAGCAACCCCACAAAATATCTTGCAAATTGGGATAGATAAGGTGAAATGTGGTGAGTGGAATGAGGTGGGGATGAAAATGGTTATTTCTTAATTTAATGGATATATTTTAATTAGATATATAATGGTTTTTAATTATAACCTGATTTATGAATTTAAAAATAATTCTCTTTATTTTTTAATAGTATACTTTATATATAGGATTTTGGGTAATTTTCCTTCGCTAGTGTATTGGAGTTAGCCTTACTCGATGAATATTAGTGGGTTGGTATTTTTTATATTTCAATCAATATATGCCTTTAAATATTGTCATGCATAAGATATAAATCTCATTTGGAAATGCTAAACAATTTGTAAGTAATGGGTGCTGCAGCGAAATTGATTGTAAAAGAGAAAAAATTAAACATTTTAAAATTACCTTCCATAGAGTTCAGTTTGAAATCGAAAACCGCTCAACAACATTTGGATAAGTGAAAAATGTTGGGACAAACTAGTTGGTTATTGTCCATTTCAAAGCACCTTTTTCTTTTGATTATTAAAAATATTAAGTACAATCTATTTTCTTATTCTACATCTACTCTTTTTGTTAAATTATCTGTCTATTAATCCGATATTATTATCAATTTTACTAGATGAAATGGTTATGGAAATAGAACCTCCATACCTTCTTGGTGGCGCAAGGTGTTTCTACTACTTCGATGAACAAATGTTACTTGTAAAATAAGGTGGGGGCTTTCTCCTCCCTTGTACCTCTAGCATAAGAATTAGTATGTGATTTTAGAACGTAGATTTAAGAAGAAAATATATAATGAGTATTCAGATGGCTAAATTTTTGAGAGCCCATACCTATCCCGCTTTAAGAGTATTTATAGGTGTCTGAAACCATATAACTACAGGGCGATTATTGTGTCACGTGTCCCATATAGCACCCTCTGTTACCCCCACTTTCTAAGTGGAGGACTTCCACCTACACAACTGTTGGTTGTGCCCATGATAACTGTTGAATGGTTTCTTCCAATTTAATGATGTTTTTATGGTTAAGTGTCGTTGAGGGCCTCATAGTAGTAGATGACCTCATTATGATAGACAGTCTAGCATAAATGTAGGGAATCTTATAGTGATCGATGACCTGATATGGACATAGAGGGCCTCACAGTGATAGATAGCCCCAAAATGATAGACGGACCAGCACAAATGTAGAGGGCCTCATAGTGGTCGACGACACAATGTGAACGTAGAGAATCTCATAGTGGTCGACGATCCGATGTGAATGTAGATGGCCTCATAATGGTCAACGACCTAGCATAGGGTGTTTTACGTAGAGTGTTTATTGAGTAGCCTTCGTCTCGTTGGCCATCATAGAAAATTATTGGTGCCATCATCTTGAGATTAAAAAAAATGAAAAAAGATTAGTTCAACAACTTTCTTCATCTTTTCTTTGTTTCTTTTTGCAGCGGTAGTAACAACCATTGATGGCTTTTGAAAATTTTGTGCAACCAAATATTCCATGTTTCGATGGTAATTATGATCATTGGAGCATGTTGTCGAAAACTTCTTGAATCCCAAAGTGTTTCTTGCAAGTTATCGATTATGGCGTAGTACAATCAGCACTTGGGGTGTTTTGACAAAATAATAATAATAATAATAAAGAATAAAAAGAAAAATTGCCAAAGTGCAAAATCAAATTGAAACCATTGATTTAAATTCATAGGTATCGTATTATTTCGATTTTACACCATAGCAGATTGTTTTGAAACGGTCCGATTTAGAAGTCAATAGTCAAATGGATGGACCCTTTACCAAATTAAAGAACTAAAAAGGAAATTATGTTACGACAATAACTTTAAGTGAAGACCAAATGTTGTTCAAATAATTTCTTGACTTTTCTTAAGAGAGCTTCAAATAAATTGTAATTTTTTCATTTGCTTGATGAGAGGATTCTATGTGGTTCTAACTAAAAATAGCAACTCGTGGTTTGAAAGCAAACAGAACTAAGGGTGAATGCGATTCGATTTGGACGGTTTGTGCTATTTTTTCAAGTCAAACCATTTTACACGGTTTGAAATTTTTTCAAACCAAACCACACCATTTTAATTTTCGAACCAAATCAAACCATAATTTGCGGTTTTGTTCGATTTTAATCCGCGGTTTGCCTATCACCATTATAGTAATATATTTAATATAAGTTAACATGTAAGTTTAAATGTGAACTAATAATGTTAAATATTAAATTACATTCATATTTACCATAAAACTAATGAATAAATTATTTTCAAAGTTGGTTGCTATAAAATGTTAATAGAACAAATATATATTCTTTCATTTTTATTTGTCTTTTCTTGTTTGACATTCATATTGTCATATAATAGTTGTAAAAGTAAAGTTACATCCTGTTATTATAGTTTGGTTAAAACTCATTTCGTCTTGCTAGTGAGATATCAAATAAGGATTGAACGTGATATATTCTTATGTACAAAAATTGATAGAATTTCGACTTATTAGAAATTGACGAATTTCATTGTCTAACTACTTTATGAAAGTAGAAGGTAGTAATATAAGTTATGAAATTTTAACATTTCACACAATCAATAAGATCCGTCCCTCATTCTTTTCAAATCACAAACAAGTTCAATAATCATCTAGAAACACACAGTTATTTTTCTATCCAAACCACAATTAACAAATGTATAATAAGCTCAAAAACAATAAATAAAAGAAAGTACAACGAAAAATGGCTTGAATGAGAATTTGAGATTTACTGAAAGAGAAGAGAAAAAGAGGCGATTCAGGTAGAAATTAACAGACTAACAGGCAAAGGAGATTGGTGATTGGCAAACAAACTTCAAATGTTAGGGAAAAAAGAGTTTATATTAGAGCTTCTGAAATTTTGGACGTGATTTGCTAACGTAGTTTTGTTGAATTATAATTTGGATTTTTGAAAATATATGTTTTTTTTTTCCCATTTCATATGATTTTGGAATAATTTTAGTTTAATTTAGATATCAGATGAGAATATGTGTCGTGAACTTATTAAATCATAGGTTAATGATGATGAAACTAATTTATTTTCTAGTTTCTATGATTATTTCAATAGGCTTGTTGTAATTTGTATTGTTAAATTAGAATTTTTTTCTGAAAAGTGAAAATTATAAAAATTTTAAGTCAATAAAATTAATATTTTAATTAAAAAAATTTTAAACGGTTCTGTTTGATTTTGTACGGTTTGGTTCGATTTTGTGCGGTTTTTGAAAACTTAACCCTAAACCAAACCTTTTGAAACGGTTTGGTTCAGTTTGAGGGGCAAAAAACCACGGGGCCACGTAGACCCAAACCAACGATTTCAACTCAACGATTTCGGTTCGATTTGCAGTTTCGCGATTTTTTTGTACAGCCCTAAACAGAATAGCCAAAAAAGGGTTTGTTGTATGATTTTGATCCTTTTTATTCAAATCTTCAATATTGATCCTACAACTTCCAAAAACGCCCACGATGGTCCACAAACCTCCATAATCATCCAAAATTTTTCGTCCTCAAGTTCTGAAAGTGTACAAGTCAATTTTAAATGCCAATCTCCTCAGAGCGAAGAAATTGGCCGTCCAACTTTTAGCTGAGGAAGTCTACCACTATCACCCCCGTAATTCTTACCTTATAAACCATCTCGAATCCTTCCCGCCCTCTTGAAAAGTGTAAAGGGAATAGAAATGATCGATCGTTAGTTCGGAAAATCCTAATGTATGCCATAGCAATAGTAAACCCAAAAGAGCTCTCCACCTATAGAATGGAGCTGTGTTAGGTTATTTTTCAGGAAGAAAGAAATCGACGGATATTTGGGGAAGGACAACCTTAGCCCAACTACAAACAAGGTCAGGTTAAGAGCCACACACTCCTCTGGGGTTCACAAGCTTGGTCGTAGATCATTGGCACGAATATATCGAGCGAGGACGTGGTACATCACATGCTATGACTTGGGTTTTTTGGGGTTTATAGTGAACTCAAATCTAAGATACTCCCACCTTGAAACACTCGTAAAATCACCCTCACTCATCTCACAAGTTGCTAGCCCAGTTCCAAACCATTTAAAATTAATTCAATTTGGAAAAATGCCAAAAATCATCCAAATTAGACTGTGTTCACCCTCAAAACATACTATTCTTTCCATTTTTTACGTATTTGTAATCATAGTGAAGTGCAAGTCTTTCGGGTTTCAAATCATAAACCGGTTTGGTAGAGTTGACATCAGTATGAAAATTAATTTGATCACGATTGGATTATTAATTCAAGCATAATTAAGCTGGGGTTGCAACACTTAAAATTATAAGCCACCTAATTACGATCAAGCATCTCGCCATTACCTTTCAAGCCACGACTTCACGTGATAGCCTGCTTATCTCGAATTGTTGTCAACTTTCAACGTTCACATAGGATTAGAAAGTCTAGTAACAAACAAGGTTACTGACATTTAAGTAAGTTAAAAGAAGAAATTGCGAAAATTAGAGTTGAGTGATCCACATGAGATTTCGCTGAAAGCTCAGTGACCAAAAATGTAATTAACTTGATTTCAGATATTAAGAGAATTGAAAATTGATGAAATTATAAGCCATTCCATGAAAAGCACACCTGCAAATCCTCAATTGAAAATCAAAGGTGTCAAAATAGGTGGACTAAGTTAGATCGTCCCATCATGAGTGAGGCCTAGACCAAATGGATTACATGGGGCTCGAAGAAACAACAAATAACTTCCAAATTTATCATAAACGTTGAAATAGGATGTCAATGTTGCTTTATGAAAATGTCCCGGGCTGTTCAGGTGAAGAATTACACTATGATATTCAAGTTTTTTCGCATCTACAGACGAACATAGAATGACATTGTTCTCGGTATGTCAATGTCTTTGGTATTTAGACTTAGGTTCATCATCCGAGCAGGAGTTTCTACATGGCTTCAAGAAGGAGTCCAGAGTTGTTTGCTTCGCAGGACTGCTCTGTATTTTTCTTTGTTTCGCATGACTGCTCTGTGTTGGATCAATTGAAACTTGTAGGGAATTCTCATGGCCATCAAGCATCTAGATATTCAATGGTGCAAGTATCAGCATATATTCTTGGAAAGAAAACCCGAAAGTATTCTTGAAAATATAAATACAGTCGATGCAGACTGTTAATCAATAGACTACCATGATAATGGGATGTTACAATGGCACGTTTAGAAAATACAAACAAACAAAAATATAATTCTGAAGGACGAACCTGTCCCAAGTTTTCCAACTTGCTTTGAATGACATCCCTGAAAGAAAAGCAATCAAGTTACTTGTGGTAATAATATTGTTCTACTATTTCTATATAATTAGAAAGCCATCTAAAAGTCTACACCAAAGGTGGCATTATCTTGAAATTATATATGAAGGTACCATATTATATCGTCAACTGTGTCATTTGCCAGCAGATAGTATATATTGACCGATGACACCTAAACAAATTAACAATTATATCAATATTTGAGGAATAACAATGAAATCGAATGAAATAGTAAAAACATCAAGCATTTAGATAATTAAGATATAATTGACGGTTGGAATTTTTTATTTACTTAATTATTATTATTATTATTTCTTTCTTTTTTAAATTTTTTGACAAATGTGAACACTGCGTGCAAATGGGAAAGAAAACTTCAGAATTTTGCAGAGGCAAACTTTGATTCTATGATCACTCCATTAGTTTTAATTTCAGGAAAATAAAATTGTTCAAAACAATTTTACTTGGCCAATTCTATGAGCACGATCTTCTGCTTGAATCATGTCCCCTGGGGTCCAAGATAGTTCTGCAAAAATTACTGTGCTTGCTGCTGTCAAGGTTAAGCCAACGCCTCCAGCTTTGATGGATAACTACAGCGCAACAAGAAAACTACATATCCCATGGAGAAAAAAGGAAAAATATTTTGAAACCATTTGAATAAAACAGAAGCAATACCACTGCTGCCTTTATAGAATCTTTTTCCTGAAAATCTGTCACCAGTGCTTGTCTTGATGCAGCTGGTGTACTGCCATCAATCCTTATGCAGCCAACTTTTTTCTTCTGGAAACATGGTCATCATATGAGTGTGTTTTAAATGTTTACAAATTTCACTAAAGATTAGTCTTACAAGAAGAAATTGGTGTATCGAATCAATCATTGGTTGATGATGCGCAAATATCAAAAACTTGCAACCGGCCTGCAAAAAATAAAACAATATAAGCTCTTAGTGAAAAATGTCCAAGCCAATTTCCCAAACAATGCTATAAATATTAGTATTAGTGAGCTGTTGCTCACAATCAATAACATTTTTGTCATGCAAACATCAATTTAGATTAAGATCATTGTTTCCTCATATGTTGAGAAGTGTTGATATCAAACGAGAGGGAGTGATGTGATATAATATAAGAAACTTCCTATATGCAGCTGAAAACCAATTAAATGCTCTAATCTATGCACAATCTGTTGCTAATAGCAAGTGCGGCAAAATAAGCAGCAACAAAGTTGATAATAGGTATACCTCAATCACAGTTCCCAGGTAATCCATAACTGCCGGAATCTTTGCTTCTGCAGAGTCCGTATATATCTGAAGCATAGATGGTATTGAAAAGATGAAAAGGACAAACAGTTTCTAGAATGGATTCATTTAATTACACAGTGAAGGGGTCAAAATGTGCACATGAACTGATATGTAACAAAACCCCCTCTATTAGAAATTTCTAAAACACTTTGTATAGTTGATTGTATATTGAGCAGATGAAATCATTTGCAATATTATAGAGAAAGAATTATTTTGCCGGAAGATGTGATCGTACTAGTTAAAAATATTACAAACTGACTGAACTGTTGAAGATATGGTTTTGCATTCCAAAGACGGAAACAAATTGTTACCCTATGAAGTGCATAGAGAATGGCCTAATATTTAATCAATAGCAAAGTCTATAGCCTACGCATATAGATGAGTGCAATGAGAGTTTATCTTCTGAAAAAAATAAAAATAAAAAAAAAAGTAATAATAATTTGAATATTTTTAGTAGTAGTCAAGAAACTTCCAAGTCAAAGAGAGTTGAATACATTGGTATACTCTAAATCTCCCATTGACCCATTGTGCTATTTGCCCATGAGCATGAACACATTTGAGCAGTTTTCTGCCCCAGTTGTACAAAAAATCATTATTTATGTGGCAAAATTTGCCAACACCCACATTTAATGACCCACTACACGACTATATTTAGTTTTGGTGCACTCGCTGATATCAGCAAGTGCAAATAGGTGACCGAATCACACAAAAAAATTAGTGGTCTTAAAAGTTGATCCCCTATCCTGTTGCACACCCATATAACTTTTAACTCATAAAACCACCTAAATAAAACATGTAGATATTCAAGCCACCAGCACCCAGTCATCTCCAATGAATCATCTCAAACAGCTTGCCATTCACCATCCCCACCAACCCCAGGCCCTCTACCATCGCACCGCCACCAAGGCCCTTCTCAACCATCCTGCCAATAGCTCCAAGCCCCTTCCCATCATCCCACCAACATCAACTACTTTCTCCTAATATATACATCAAGAAATTAGAAAAAAAAATGTAAAAAATGTTGATGGAAAACAAAGAAGAAAACCTAAGATCTGAAAATCAAGTTAAATTCTTCCATTCCACAGGAAAAATAAAATAAAAGAACTTGGCAACATACAATGAGGAAGTTGATCTAAGCGAGTTCAGAGCACCTTTTTCAAGCAAATTTACTAAAAGAGAGATGAACAATGTACGGTAAAAAACAGTGTGTTTGTACAGGAATGAGTCCTGGTGGATGGAGTTGATAAGCGACTATGACTTTCCCTTCGATAAGCGATATCAGTATGTTGAATATCATGCAGAGTTTATCCCCTCCAACGCAATTCAATTTGGCGTGATCTAAGTAGAGAGTGGAAAGTGGTGTATTTTGCAGAGTTTCATTGCAGAGCCATGTTTCCTCAACTTTGAAAGTCAAAATGTACAAAGGCGAGTTGACTTCAGTCAAGTAGATTAGAAAGAATAAAGAAGAAACTATTTATTATAAGAAAGAGGACATAATTATGTATAGGAAAAAAAGAAAAAGAAAGAAAGAGTCAAAAATCAAGGAGTGTAGAGAATTCTAATTTGCGGGAAAGCAAAGAAATCAACAGATACGATATTTGCTCGCCTTATTAATAAGATTCTTCTCAGTGAACTTGAGTGATTCAGCTTCTCCTTTCGACTGGCTTGACTTAATTTTTCCTTTAATTACCTGCAGCTGCACAGCGAGGAGCATCATTGAAATTAATTCCTTGCCGCTTGAAATCTTCCATAAGTAGCTGAACATTTTAGGGATGAGGTGCACCTTAATAATCTAAAATAATGCAAGTTATTAATTGAGCACAACAATTTTCCATATTGTCCCGTTCTTGATACAAGAGACCAGGAGAAAAATATATAATAAGAGCAGTTTGAGATGAAAAAATTCCTTTTTTTATGAAATGTACCAAACAACACATTTCAAAAGCCAAACTATAAGTAGTTTCAGTAAAAGAGAGAGTATTAAAGTTGATGATACAAAAACGCCAATAGTACAAAAGAAACCGATTGGACCGTAACCAACCATAGCCTTAGCGAAAAGAAGAATTACTGTTTTACCATCAGAATTAAGTAAAATTATAAACTCGAATGTTTTTGCACAAAATAAACTAGGAATTCAGATCACCTCACGAAACAGAGCATTAATTTGTCTCATTTCCATTTCCCCCAGATCCAAGAAAACCTGAAAATAAGGAGCGAAAAAAAGCTCAATTTAAATTATTTATAATCTGATTCCAACTTTCTAGGCCCTGGAACCTCATAATACACATGGAAACTGAAAACATGCCTGAAGCACATTGTGAAACTGATCAACTCTTCAAACTAATGCGTATTGACAACATATTGCAGCTAACTCTCAAGTGACAAAGATGATTAACTGTGAAGTTATAGTGCTGATTTTCAAATTTGTGAAAAAAAGAAAAGAAAAGTGTATTTAGGTTTCATCTAGGTTGAATTTGACTTGAAAGTATATTTTATATGCACCCAGTAATAAAAGCAACGCTGAAGAAACAGAGGATTCGTTGCAATGTAGCTTCATAAGAACCATATTTACTAAATAGACACATAAAAATATTAGCAGAATTATAAATTTAGCCGCCATAGAAAGGAGTGCTGTAACTGAAGTGGGTAAACCTAGTAGGTATCAGGAGCCTAAATATATAAAGTCAATTAATCAAAAGAATCACTAAGACAAAGAGGGAGGTAAGCAAGGAAGAAGGCGAGGTGAGGCGAGGATTACTCCATCTTTAGGAAGATCAATGACATAATACAAAAGAAAGATGACAAAAAGTTTAGCGGATACCATTACAGAATCTAAAAAAGTTATCAACCTGTTGTCGGCGTTTCACAGGAAGCTCAGAGAGAACATCTTTTTTAAGTCTCCGGATCATCACTGTGGCTTTCATCAAATTGTGCAGCTCTTCGTGATTACTTGCACCTTGATAGATTCCAAATACGCCCTGAAAAATTATGTATCTAGATCATTAGGTTTGTCTAAATAACAAAACAAATGGTAATGAGAAAATCCCACTCAAATTTGGACTTACACCCTTGCAATACCGGTTTCCATATTCATGAACATTTTTATATACATCAGGATACAGCGCTTCCAACTGTTAAGAGAAAATTTGATAGGCATTAACAAGAAACTCCAAACATTTGGAAGCATCACCAAGTACTTAATTCCAAACATATGTTTTAAAAGGTACCTGTTTGAATAATTCAATTGGTCTTGACAAAGCCGGTGTTCCACTGAGCAACATTACGAACTGAGCTTTCTATAAATCACGAACAAAGTTAATACGACGCGGAAAATGTGTGTGTGTGTGTAAGAGAGAGAGAGAGAGAGAGAGAGAGAGGATCCATGTTTTCTAAACATTGGGAAAACAATGATGAGCGTGCATACAATTTTAAGCCACAGTGCGTAAAGGGTTGTTAACACCCCTTGCTTCACCCCACCGCCCACCCCTTCAGAATTAGAAAAGAAAAATGGAAACAAAAGCAAGAGAGGAAGTACCATTCTTTTCACTCTTCATCTATAACTTTTACCTTATCTTTCTTTCAAAAAGAGTCGTGTGACAAGCATATATGAGTAGAACTTATTGCGGAATAATATGGACTCTTCCTGTTACCTCCATTTTATTGTCATATTGTCTGTTTGACGATACATTAATTACGCATACAAGGAT